GAGAAACTGAAAAACTCAAAATTGGAAATTCTCATAATGAGTTCAAGATTACTTCTTTTAAATAAGTTCGGCAAACGAGACGAAAGATAAGCGGTGTTTAGATGTGATTTTAATATAAGAACATCAATTTACCATGGAAGATTTAAATCTAAAGCAGTGGTCGGCACACACATACCATCACAAGTTTGCCTTGCATTAGTGTGAGTGTAACAAACACGAAGTTTGCGCGCGGCGTGCTGAAGCGAGACGTTTCTCTGCTTTGCACTAAGATCCTCTGCCGCAGCAACAAAAAAGCGAGCCGAAGTTGAGAAAAAAATGACCCGAAGACCCATGCCGAAGTCACACGAACATGTACGTTATACGTGAGCGAGCAGAGGATGGGCAGAACACTTCCCTATGCTCACTAGATAGGCCGCTGCCGACCACTGATCTAAAGACTTTACAAGCTTAAGTGATATAAATATTTATTTTATTTTATATTTTATTTTAATTATAAAAATCTATTTATAGGTTTTAAAATTAGTTCAATAAACCATTACCTTTTATAAAATAAATTTCAAACTAAATTAAAATATAATGAAAAGTAAACAAGCATAACTGTTATAAAAATGTTGAGTGTAAAAACGCATGCATTTGTCTCCATTCCAACTTGTACCTCTTCAAAATTAGCAACGGCCATTGCCAAAATGTCACGTACTCTGGGGCACTGGGAGCTACGTGTAAACGGTAAAGATATGCCGGGGGGTAAAAGCTCGAAATACCGCTAATTGTTGCACATGCTGCGTACTTCATGGCGTACTTCAAAAACCCCATTGTACCCCTCAATTTCGAACTGTATGCATTCGGCTTAAAGTCCCGCTACGTTGCACTTTGTTCATGGAACTTGCGGCCTCTTTCCGTTGGGAAAACTCCCTCTCAACTAGGTTTTGTGGCTCATCTGCATGGTAAATTGAAAATTGCGCTCATTTATTTCATTATTGGAAAATGTTTTTTCTCTTTTCCCATTCAAATAGCCGTGAAATTGCATTTGATTTTGTATGTGGCAAGTTGCAAAGCGATTGAAGAGCGGGTAAGTAAAGTGATGAAAAATCGTTGCATTATCAATATCGAATTTCCGCTTAAAGCTTATTGGCAGAATGTTGCCTTCTCACGCCATACATTTTATTTAAATATAAGGATTTTTTTAGTATTATATGTTTTTTGTTTGATGTAGGTACAGCAAACTATCATTTTTTGTAAGCAAAAAAATCTTGAAATCTACCTACCACCTTTTAGAATAATGTGAGGTACACTTTTTACTTAGTTAAATATTTTCACGTTCTGCCTTGCATTGCAACCCTTTTTCCCCCTTCATAAGGTTCGGTTTACAATACCATAAGTAAAACAATTGTATTGAAATGACCCGCATTTCGAACGTATCACAACCCGCTTGACTTGGGCTACATATATTGTTTAACTTTATTTTTATGGCCGTAAGCTAAGAGCTGAAAATGAAAATAGAAAATGTGTGAAAATTGGGTAAGCTAAATGTGTGTGCGGGTTGCGATAAGTAGAGGTACAGTAACTTTTTCGCACTCAATGCGATTAGATAAGAGCGCACGAAAATTGGGAAAACGAAAATCAAACAAATGGATTGGCTCATAAAATTAGCTTGTAATGTTACGTGTTATGAAGAAAACATACCACGCATATAAGGACTGAAATGGAATTGCTTCAATATAATTAAAGCCCGAAGAAAAGCTCCTCCATTTGACCGCTCTGTAATTATGAACATCTAAAGAAAGAGATGTTGCCCCACGCTGTGATAAACCACTTTGGTTATTTGTGTGTTGCGTAGTAATTATATAAAGTAAATATACGTACTCCACCATTTCTCTTATAGTCGGTTTCCTCGGTTTTACTTCTGCTAAGCGGTAATTGAATTTATTCTAATGGACGTCTAATGCGGTTATCTTGTGGGAATGACTCACTTATGACTGATACGAGTTATATAAGCCACAGTGGCGGTTCGCAAAGGAGATCCTCTGATATCCTTTAAACAAATAATAAAATGTATGCCTCACACAATCTCATTAACATTCGCCAGGGGTTAGAGCCTTCCCACCCCAGCCGATAAACACCCATTCTGCGCCTCATTATAATTCTGTTAAATGTTATGTAAAACGGGTGTCATGTTCTCCATCCCGCATCAGCACTTTCCCTATGGCGCCTCATTGACGACTCTTCGGTCCTTCGAGGGTTAGAGGGCTAGAGGGTTGCCCACTGGCTTCCATTTACAGTGACGTTTTGACTTTTAATTGTGTTTTAAAGTGTTGCGACCGCCCTTTGGGCCACGCGGTTGAATTTCGCCTGCACTTGGGTCACTTTCAGGCCATTTGGTTTTGATTTAGCTCGCCTGCTTGGTCATTTGATGCCTAATTAAATTTAACGATGACGTTGATTTCCATCTCCTCTGGCTCTGCGACTTCTCCAGAGACTATTGCTGCCGGCAAGCGGTTTTATTTTACATTATCAAAATGGTTTTGCTTACTAAATGATTTTCTGTGAATTCAAATGTGAGTTCTAACATGAAATTGATATGGATACATTGGATTGCTGGCCACACAAATATTTCAAACCATATGCAATATATAGAAAACTAAAAGATTTAAGTTTTAACGCATTTTATTCTGTAATCAACGCCTTACACCAACTTTCAACCGTTTTTAAAATTTTATGATAATAATCTATTTAAAAACTTATTAACTTTTATTATCATTAAAAAAATCTGATCACAAGTATATTGAAATCTAAAAGAACTTATCAACATTTTTCTGTAATTAGTTTATCATTACAAATATTTTAAAAAACCTTGGAAAATAATCTATTAATCAACAACCCATTAACTTTTTCAAGAGATGCCGGATTCTATTTCGCACAACCCGGGGTAGTTAATCGGAATATTTTAGTAAAAGTTCAATCGTCTCATTCATTGATATAGTATTTCATACATACTTGAATAGCTTAATATTTATGTTTCATAGACTTTTCATAATCATTATTTCTCGCTAAGCAGATCATTTAATGCAGCAACAGGTCTAGTTCATCTTTTTTCAAGGGCAGGATCAGCAAGTAACATATATTTTTAAAAACCTTGAAATATAATCTATTTATATACAAAGCAAAACCTTTTTTAACAGATGCTGAATATATTTCACATAAGCCCGAGTAGTTAACAAGAATAGTTTAATAAAAATTCAATCGTAGGTCTTATTAATTGACATACTGTTTCATAAATACTTAAATTGCTTAATATTTCTATTTCCTATTTAAACCTTTAAGTCATACTTTTTTCTCGCTACGCAGATAATCAAAAATGAACCCTTTAATAAGGAGGCCACATGTGTAGGTATGTAAGCAACAGGTCTAGTTCATCCTTTTTTCGAGGGCCGGATCAGAATTCATCAAAAAATCTGATTTTCCCATCCACCAATCTGAAATTTGCCACCATCCCAAGTCCGGCGCTTCGTGCGTTGTGCTGGCATTTAAGGGGAGCGTATGAAAAGGATTCAGCAGCAGGATGGCAGCTAATAACAGGATTAACACAAAGGAGGGAAATTGAATTTTATGCCAATATACTTAACCAGGCGCTTAAAGTGTCACTCGGCTCGTGGACTCGGCTGAAGAATCGAAGTTCGATGAAGACGGGGCTATAGGGATGTGGATGGGAATGAGGATGGGGATGGCTTCGGCGACGAGCAAACACAAAGTCCCAAACGTAATTTTCACGAATTCATTGAACTGCGTGAGTGTGAAAAATAACAATTTAGATAAATATTGCGCCGGCGACCTCCATGGGCTCCAACGTGGATGTGGCTGTGGATGTGGATGCCTTGTCATACACGGCGGGAGTCGACATCGGCGACATCGGAGTTCGTAGCTCGAGACCTCAGACCTCGGAACCCAGACCTCACCGGCTATATGGCGACGCCTTGGAAGGCGAGCTCTAGACGGCAGGCGCATCGACCGTTGACACAGAAATCATATTAATATAAATTAACGATGTGGAAAATTTAGTTTAGTAGTGAAACCCAAAGAATAAGCGCCAGCTACCGAAGCCAAGTCAGTTGTATGGCTCACGTCGCCGGCTCATCAGTCAAAATGTCCTGGCGAGCAAATCCCAAAGCAACCCATGCCGATTCCCATATCCCAACCCCAATCTCACCAGTGAGGGATTGTTTTGGTATCGCACTTCTCGGTGTCGACTGCTCCTAACCCCCGGTGTAACAATTTGGACCATATCAATCTCCATCTGTGACTATTTGCTTTGTTTTTCCATTTTGCATTTAATTGGCATTCGCTGATTTAATTTCAATGCACTTTGTCAAGTACGTGGGAAGCGGGTCTTGGCGATAATAACCGCCTCATATTCATCGACATAATCATAATCCGATTATGCCCACGTCATTCAGGACATGCACATGGTGGAGTAGTTTCCCTAGCTTCCGTTGACATCCAGCATGTTGGAGTACCTATCCAAAGTGTGTAGGAACAGAAAAGCTCTCGAGTGGATTGGCTTTATGAAAGTTGTTGATTGCAAATTAATTAGGGAACGTTTTCATTAAGGCGGATGAAGTTGAAAGTTATACTTAGGACAAATAGTGAAGAAGTCGTTAGTTGGGACGAGTTTTATATACCAATAGTTAACTTGATACTTTAAGCAACTAAAAATATTTTGCTCATCTTTTTAAGTGCTAAAAACAAAAAATGTTGGTTTGGTCACTTACGAAAATAAATAACGCTCGCACACAAGGCGGAAGTCAAACTTTTGCTTCGTTCTTATCTCGTTTCTCTATTTTTAGTAATTAAGTAATTAAATCTTTGCAAAAATACATAATTCAAGAACAATGTTATTACATAAACCTAAATTTACCAATTTTTATCAAAGTTGGAGATACTTATACCTCTCCCTAACCACTACATTATAAGGAAAATCCAAGAAAATACCACGTCATCGTACATAATTTTTCTTTTAAAAACCCTTTTGATTTATTGCTGATACATGTTGAATAATATTCTGTATTACATACTGTTGAAAAATCAATAAAGTAAATCTACTACATTTGTCAAAAAATAAAATGGTTTTCAAACTAGTACAGCAGTCGCGTCACAGGCCTATTTGCACAAAAAACAACTCAAAAAGGTTTTCGAGAATGCAAATTGACCTGTGTCGCTTGGGGTTTAGACTTGCCATTGGCCACCATTGGCATAGGATATTTCCGAATTCGGAGACTCGTCATAAGTGCCAAAAAATGAGGGCCAAGACAGACTGCGTGCATGGTTGTTTTCCAAAACTTTGGGTAATCTGGTGATTGTTGTTGTTATGGGGGTTACGTTGAAACATTATGCAGTTGTTAAAAGAATGTGGGAGAGTGTTGGGTCTAACGATAACGATAACTTTGCAAACGACATTTAAAATTTGGATGAATCAAAGGATAACGCCTAGCGCTTGCGTTCTTGGTAGAATTCGCGAATCAACTGACGCAGATAGCGCATCTCGTTGCGACGCTCCTGCAGAGTGCGGCGAAGCTCCTCGTTCTCCTGGGACAGTACATGCTCCTCGCCCAGCACGTTCTCCATTTCGAGCTTCTTCTTCTGGCGGTACCGTGTGGCAGCGTTCTTGTTCTGCTCCTTTTTCCGGATCTTACGATCCTCGACACCGCGACCGTAGGTGCGAGTACGTTTCTTTGGCTTGGCCGCAGACTGCTCCACAGAAGTGTGAGCTGGGGAGGAGCAACTGCTGGTGGTTTCTGGCAGCCAGTCCTCGTCCACGTCGGCGATGCTTCCATTCACTCCGCTGCCTGTGCTCCTGCTATCCAGCGAGGAAGAGGCCTGAGATTCGCAGTCGTCATTGAACTGCGGCCAGTTTGTGGTCAACTCAAGCTCCTTGGCACGCATATTGACGATATCATCGACCAGTTGGTTCTCGCGGGCGATTTCGCTGCCGCCCACCCAGTTGTTGAAGTTGAAGGGCGTGGCGGCTGCCGCACTTGTAGCATCAGGAGTATAGCATTGCTGTAATATTTGTGCTTATTAGTATCATATTTGTTTGGTAGGCACATTCGTTTTACTACTTACCACCTTCTGCTCGGCCTTAACAGGCACGGGCTGTGGCGATTCCTCTGGCTGTTTGTAAGCATCGAATTGGGGCGGGGACTGCGGCGGCGTCAATTGCTGCAGAACAAGGGATGGGGGATCGCCGAGCTGGTAATCGGCGGAAGAAACCAGTGAAGCAGCGACGGAAGATGCAGCGAATGGTACTTTGTTTACGGGTATTATCGGCTGGCTGACAGCATCGATTATGGGCTGATAGCTGTTCCTCTCATAGTCGATGCAGTTAATGGCTGCCTTTTGGTCCAGAAGACATTCTAATGAAAAAGAGAAATGTAAAACGTTAGAAATCACATTTTAATGATGTTATTTTGATTATTTTGTAGACCATCTTCTAGAAGTCTATACTATCTTTTGCATCGTTTTTTAAACTTTTATGAATTGTTCTCCCAATCTCAACTATTAAAAGTAACGATGGGTAGGTCAAATTTAAAAATTTCGTGTTCTCTAATCATATTAGTGCCTTTCCTTCAAAAGATATACGTGTTTTTGTCGCAAACAAAATGTTAGTAGTTCCCAATAATCCTAGATTTAATTTCAGCTTAACGAGGGGCCACGCCCTTATATGAAATGACCCATGCACTAAATAAGTTGGTTTTTTTTTTACAACAACTTCGATTTACATAGCGCTCTGAATTTTAACTTGATGGTGCTCCTGATTTGGATAATAATGGAAATCTTAGTTTCAATTGTTTTTGATTTCTTCCCCTTTTTTTTTTCTCCAACTTCATAAACAGAATCTACGTCTCAGCTCTGTCAACGCGAATTGTTGTTTTCTATATTTTTCCACTCTCAATTGAAACTTATTTCCATTGAAGTGAAGGACGCAACCAATGCTCGTATCTCGTTCAGAACTCTAGTAAACATTTACATATTGATTGTGGCATATTTTCTTCAATATACGTTTGATTTGCTGTTGTTTTCAATTCGCTTTTATTGGAGAGCGACGAAGACCACTTATATTGAACAAAGTTCGACGACATGGGTTTTTTATTATTTGATACAAATGGACTGACATCGAATCACAGTGAGACCAAAGTATCACATCGCTGGGAAATTTGTTGTGAGTACAACCTTCCAGAAGCATTGTTGCCACACCTGCTTACTTTGTAAAAGTTGACCCAGCGACACCTTGGGCTAAACATTCACCTCTCTCCCAAGATCGATTCTACATTAGCATAACACGTTTCGCATCGATCGATCTGTCAGTCGTTAGTCCATTTATATAGCAACCTCCTCGCGAACAGCTGCGCTTGAGTACGTTGAAAGCAGAGCAAGTGTAGCTGCGTTATTAGATTAACATAAAAATGTGATTTTTAACTTAGCTGTTACCATGCCCAGCCCTGCTTTATTAGAATATTAAATTGTATTTCATTGTGCATTTTTGCGCAACAACAAGCTCAATGCCCACTTCAATCAAAAAGGCTAAGAAACAAAAACGAAAAAAATTACTTTGAAGTCTCAACAATAACAATATTTTTAAAACCTTATCGGTACTATTAAAAATTCTAAAAATGTCGTAAAACAAAAAGTGTTATTATTAAACTAGAGCAGTTTAAAGAGTTTATTTTATAGAGCTAGCGAAAAGGCTATTGTTCATCCAAGCAAACAATGTTGCCATTCGAATTATCAAATAAAACGACAGAGACAACTATATAAGCAATCGTAAAGAAAATAAAAAAAAAATTCTATTATATATATAAATATTTAATGGGAACATGATTAGCTAAAACCTTGACGCAAAAATGACTTTATAGACAAATAAATATGCAGTTTAGTTCAGATTGGTTAGCCTAGATTGCTGGGAATATCAAGAAAACTAATGAAAAATTCCCATTGTATATGACAACTGTTTTTTTAAATTATTTTGGAATTCTTTTTACAAATCAAAATAAGAATTGTGTATCCTGGCATTATTTTATTAAATAGTAATATTTCTTTAGTTGAAGTATAAGTTTTGGAGATATTGTTTCCAGATAATTCCGAATTAAGAAATTCCAGCAACCACAGCCCAAGTCCAGTCATTATATGCAAATGAATTATATAAATATTTTACTGAATGCGATCAATAAAAAAAACCAAAGCAGTACGAAGCAATTTACTGATAAACCGGATCGCCCTGAAAGTCACCTTAAGTGGTCAAAGAGCCAGAGTAAAAAAACTGACTGAGCAACCCAAAGTTAATATTATGTTTGGAAAATATTCATATCATAACACCTGTATACTAACCATAGGCTTGCATGAATATATATGTACTCATGTTTGCGGCAGCAGTGAATCGTTATGTTGTCGAGTGTAAGGAAAGTGTAATTCAAGTTTCAAGTAAAGGCAGTAAAGGATGGGCAGAAAAAATGTAATGTTGGATTAATGACCTAATCTAAACTATAAAAAAGACTGTCAAGAAACACTAGACTAAAATATAAAACAAAGAAAAATCATCTAATTCTAGACAAAAACCTACAAATAATATTTTAAAGATATGCGCTTTGTAAATAATGGTAAGTAAATAATATATAAAATATTTGCAAAAGAAAAGTAAAAAATCACAGAGTCAATTTTGAATGTACAATCGAATAGGCTTGAGAACGTGCTGGTAAAGCGGTTATAAGTCCAGCAATTGGCTGGTTAAATAGAAACACAAAAAAACCGTTTACAAATAGTACGGATTTTTGCCAACTTGAGGTTAACTGTCGGTTAAAATTTAAGTTAAATCTGAACGCGACTGGTGCCAAAAAACGTTTTCAAAGTTTATGAAAGTATTTGAGTTATGGCTTTTCAATGTTTGTCTGTCCTTCGGTTCCTGTTGCTCTGTCCGTGGGATCCAACTGCTGCCGCAAAATGCTCGGCGTGGTCGGACAACTTGGATTCTCCTGCTTAACGTCGTTTCACCAACTTTTGCGAATTTATCACAATTTCACGGTTCCACATGTAACGGTATCCACAGTGTGGTATCATGCTAACAAAGTCCTTGGTGCCCGCACTCGAATTTCCAGGTGCTCGCAACGTTATCGTGGGTTTGTCTATTTTCCCGGGATGGGCTACATATAGTTGGCACTCGATGGTCGCCTTAAGCGGACTCTAGCCGTTTTGTTTGCTGTTGCTGAAAATTTTGGAGTGGCTCAAAAGGCCTTCACTTCACAGCTAGCAAATCACTTAACAAAGTTCGACGGGGGTTCGTAATTGGGCGCGTTAGCTTAGTTTACAAGTTTCTTAGATTTATTTTTAACAACACGCCAGTTTTCCTTTATTAAAACCATTTAACAAATTATGCCGACGGTTATTTGAATCAATTTTTTTTTAAATATTTCACGACTGCCTTTTTATTTGTCTTTTGAGCGTTTTATAAACGTCAAGACGTGCGATTGTGTGGTTGCTACTTCGCAGCTTGTTTGTTATTGTCTCGGTTCGCTTTGGGCAGTTTTCTTTGTGTTGTTGTGGGTTGCTTTTGTTCAAGACGGGGTGGGTGGGAGCGGGGGGCGGCTGAAATCGAAGTCAAAGCCGAGTTTCGATCCGAACGCTCGCGTCTGAGTAACGATTTATACTGAGTTCCGATCGCAGAGCGCGCCAGGTTTTTGCTCGACTAACTGGGAGGCCAGTGTGAGCGGAATGATACTGGGGGAAGTCGGCCCAGCCCAGAGAGAGGCCCTGCATTAAGATCAATCTGTGGGTTTATTTCCAGCCCGAGATGCTATCAGCGGAGACAGCCGAGCAGTCGCAGCACGAGCCAGTGCGCTTCAAGCCAACGGACTCTGCACAGTGGTGCGGAAGTATCAATTTCACTGACCTATGGTCAAGTGAAAGTTAAGCCAACTTTACGTCTTCACTGAAAGGCTTGAGGTCTGATGGGTGTACCTACTATATAGGTACAAACAATTTTCAGAGCCATTTTCCTATAGAATACGTATTTCATATAAGTATTTAATCTTCTACTAATTAAAATTGTACTCAAAATCATGTAATATGATATGTTAATTCATAATCATCATTAACACTCGAGTCTTTTGATGATCTGGTTTGAAAAACAGGTCTGTAAGTTGGTTTACTTCTTTTCCGGGTTTTGAACTTCTCTTTTTATGACCGTCCTCAAGGGTATACATAACATCTATTAAAAACCTAAAAACATGATATATCTTTTTAGTTTAGCTAAATGATGTCTCAAGAATCCACCATCGACCACTGTTCTTTTCTGCCTCTTTACTTTTCTAGAAATGCATATTCAAAGTATGTATATGTGTTTTAAATATTATTATCAACTGCTTCTGATGTGTACATCAGCAGTCAGTCACCTCTCACCCTCGACCACAATCGAGTCACTGGGTGGTTTCTTCTTAGTGTTAGGTGGAATACATTAAGTTTGTTACTGGGCAGAGGACAGTAGTCATGTGCATTGAACACGTACTGCACTTAATTTTTCCATCGCAACTGGAGTAAACAGTTCAATAATCTTATTTCTTAATCAGAGAGATTGCTCTCCCGAAGAAAGTTATTTATAGACTGGCCAAGCCTCAAAACAAAAAAACTGTCAGTACCAAAATGGGGGGCACGTCCTGGGGATAAATATAAATTTTGAAAAACAAAGAAGATTCCTGTCCTGCTTACAGCTCCAAAAATATGATGACCATAACTGCGTCAAATGGTTCATTGATCGAAGTATTTGAAAGGTCCGAAAACCTCTCTTTGTAGGAAGGGTTTTTGGTTTCCACCAAACAAACCTGATTCGATAACGTTTAACCTTCAATCAAATATTACGAAGTTTTGAGTGAAGAGAGAACCCCCACCTTGCGGAGATTTGTTTGAATTCCTCCGTGAAATAGCACACAACCTGTTGTTATCTATGGAATTCTTTGAGGCGCCAGCTGAGCCCCAGCAAAGAGTCTAAAGAGAGTGCTTAAGAGCGAATTGGAATGACCGATCACTGATCACTCGCTCAAGGCGTGATCAGCAACGTAATCAGATCAAAAGCTGATTCCGATTTCATGGCTCTCTCTTGCTCTTTGCCTTTGTTTTTGCCTCGAAATTGGCCATTACAACGCTGGCTTGTGGGCCACGTTAAGAAACAATAATAAAAAGCACGGTGAAAACAACATAAGTATGGGCTGGTAAAACTGCCAGCGAATACGCTAACAAAAACAAAGAAAATCTCGAACCGGTTCCTCAACTTCGCTTGTTTGTATTTTTCGTTCGAAAACATTTGATGTGCGGGCCCCTTAATGACTCGGGCGTCATTTACTTGTTGATGCTGATCAATACGAGAATTTACCCTATATAAGGACTGAAAACCTTTATTGCTGGGATGGAATACAATAACCTCCATAAGTGACAAGTATATAACTACAAAAAATGAATTTATATAACAGTTGTATTGTAATATTTCCCTATAATTTATTTATGTCAGGTTTTTGCCAGTCAATTTGCAGACGTTCAAAGTTCGATTGAATTTGTTATTCGATCGATTTTCTGTTTCACCCAGCTGTATTTATTAGGTATGGTTTTTGCTTCTTATTTCAAATTGGCTTTGGTTGATAGGTCTGTAATAGGCAGGTATTCAAGATATTTATTATATTTTAAGAAAACAATTAGTTCTACATCAGGAATATTCATTTTTGATATGGTATCTTAAAGAAAAAGATATTTTTTCAGGACCCTCTCCTATAAACATAGATTAAAAATTCGAGATTTTTTAGTTTGCCCTAATGAGACTTGGTAAAAGTTTGCTTTAATTTTATAGGGTTGTAAAACTGATTTTTTTAAAAATAAACTATAAATATCTTTTTTTTATGTGTTAAGTTACTTTCAGACCATATACTTTGGGGAGGATTTTTTTTGGCCGCCCTGTTTGAACGGGTAATTCAAAAAAATAACAGCTTTTTCTCAAATACAAAAAAATTTTAGACTCTAAAGGATCTCAAAAAGTTTTTAGGTGTGTCCATAGATAAAGGTAAGTTTCCATAATAAAATTCCAGTTCTTTTGAGTAACTTCAAATAAAATAACATTCTTTTTTGATAAAGATAAGGACTAAATTAGACATACCTTCATCCTTCAGGTCGAAGATCTCTACAACCAACTCCTCGTCGCTGAGCAGCTCGAGGGAGCCGGCCTCGTTCAGGATCAGAGCGTCTTCATCGCCAATAAGACTAATGCCTGGAATCAAGAATACATTAAAGCCATTTTACTGGAATGGGGCAGCAAGGAGCACAGACCATTTGCAAAGTTATCGTCACACAGCCACTCGGCGTCTACTGAGTCAGTGAATGAGAGCAGATCGGAGCCCAACGCCGATGTTGGGGACTGGGGCTCTACCTTGAGGTCCCAGTACAGCTCCTTGGGCAATTGTAAACTCTCCATTGTTTCTTGAAATGATGCGTCCATATTCAGAATCAAAATCAGAAGTCAGAGATATGTGTTTTGTTGATAAATTGAAGTCCGGTCCGAAGAATGTGAATGGTTGTTGTTGCGGTGTTTCTTGTTGTTGTGAGGATGCCATGATGGCACTGAAAAGGTTTAGAAAAAACGTATCGTGGATTAGTTGATTGTAAGTAAAAATGCAAGGCAATACCGGTATGAATCGCACTGTTAAAAAGACCCCCTAATCAAATAAATTTGACCGCCAGTCATGCTGATAAGCAGCCAACGCCACCCTTCTAGACAAGCACTCTGAGCAATTTCGTAGGAATAATGTGAAAATCTAACTTGATCTTGAACTTTAAAGTGCATAATATCTCCTTGCTGGATTTAAATTTTTTAAATTTTTTTGAAACTTGGAAACTATCTCTTGTTTTGATTACTTTAATATTTCCTTGATACGTGGTCATTAAACTGTTGCATGTTATCTACATAGACATGTGCTATACCTATTTAATCGTATTAAACAAAACTAATTTGTTACAGAGAGATCCTTTCTAATCAAAGTCCAATTTGTAGTTTAAATTGCACCGAATGTTAAGTACATACCTATACATACATGTGTATATACCGTGGGGAAAGTAAACAAAGAGATTTGCGATAGCGCAACACGTTTTGGAGTCAAAAATTTAGACCCACCGCCATGCAATAGGGTATGCCCGCGGGGGGTAGTCTCCACTATGGTGAGTCATGTTCATCCCTTGATTTCCACACGTGCTGGCTGCTTGCAACGTGAATTACTCAACTCCAGCAGTCGATTGCGTCAGCCAATTTCTCTACCTGGTTGCATGCCCCATTTGCTTTGCCATGTGTTTGTATTTGCCACGTTAACATGGCCTTTGGATTGGCCAAGCATCGAGAATCCATACAAGCCGATCCCACACACACACGTGCAGCGGTGATGAATGTGCAACGCCAAAGTGCGGCAGTGTGCGTGGGACATTGCGAAATTAGCAAGCGTTCGATTTGCGGCATACTCACGATTGTTTTTTATACGTTTCCATTTTGTTGTGTTTAGGGCACCTAGGTGCAGCTTGGTTTTGCTTGCGCGCAATCTATAGAGCCATCTTTACGTCGATATAAATGCCGAAAACGTTGGAGAAAATAACACTTGGACCTTTTTGCGTTTCATTTGGAACGATAATGATTGTTGCTGGGATTAGTGTTACCAGAGGGTGCAACGGCGTTAGCCGACGCGGGATTTCCCCTACCAAATCCACCACTTTTACCACTAAATTCAAATGTGCAAGGAAGGATTGGATGAAAGATAAAAAAAAATTATTTTATTAGAATAAAATTGTTATCAATTCCTTACATTACATTTATTTAAACATAAAAAAAAATATATTTTTATTAAATAAATGTTTTTGCCTAAGTGAGTAAATCCATCAATTCTTTTGAACAGTTATTGAATCAAAGAATAGAATCACCTGAATATTCACAGATAAACTTACAAGTTCAATTGTTATCATTAAATTGAATGAAGTTCATGAGAACAAGACCATTTCCTGTTTATTTTTGCTATCACAGTGCTTACTGTACAGAACAATCAATTAATGGTTGAAAATATTTAAGCAAATTAAAACAATTGTTTTCGAATTATTAGGCCAATAATATATTAAATTAACGACAAAAAATTATCACAAACGTACACATGTATGTAAGTCGCTTCTGCGAAACTCAGTCACCGATGAAGATGAGCCACTTGTCTGAACAGACCTGGGTATCGACTTGTAGCTTTGAAAAACAATTTAAATTCAATTAACTTTGCTAACAAAGATATTGTTTTTGCGTTTAGCCCAAGACTTTTGTTCATTTTTTGTTTCAGGCGCGCAGCTTTCGCATTAAGTGCCAGTGTGAACGGTTACATCACCTTTCGTAAATTGGATTTACAGCATCTGTCTGCAAGGGGTATAGGGGGTATTCCCATCTCAAAACCAGGGCTGTAGAAAATGTTTAACTTAAATTTCTCTAAAAGGAAGCGTATAATTTCGGGTGCTCAATTATTCCGTTTTCTACGATTGCTACGTCTTTACATTACGTTTCGCACTCGCCTACTCATTATGGCGTTTTCCCGCTCACAATTGCGCCGAACGTTGGTCATTTTTAGGCAGTCGCTGCTGTTTATCACAGCCGCCGATCGCTTGACAACCCTGGTGGGAGGGCGAGGGCTCGCTCCTCGCATTAAGTTAATGTGTGCTAAATTGTAATTAAACTACGTAGCAGCTTTGTGTTATTGCGCGTGTGTGCGTAGTCGTCGTTGTCGCGCGAACGAACCGCTCGTTTTTTGTACTTTTGGGGGCAGCTGCAGTTGTGCCCCCAGTTCGTGCGTGAGAGTGTGTGTGTGACTGTGTGAGTGGTGGGCACGGGCAAGTAAAAGGAGGAAAAAACGGAGGCAGAGCAGAGCCAGAGGTCAAAAGTGCAAACGTAGAGCTACTCGTGGAGTGCATTGCCGGGGTGGCAAGGTCAAAGGCAGGGAGGTCCATCGATTGCTAGTTTTTGGGGGGGACGGTGAGGAGGGGCATCTCTTTTCTACACATAAGTAACATATTCATAAGTACATATATATGTACACTTCTCATGCTGATAAGCAGCGCGAGAGAGAGAGGGAAAGAGAGAGCGCGCCTGTCAGCTGTTCAATGTTTTGGCTGTGTGCGGCGCACAGGTTTCGCCTGGGTCGCAGCTTCGTTCTTCGATCAGTTCCGTTTGTGGAATGGAACCGCTCGTTCTGCACTGTCCTCCGCCCACTCCGTCGCCGCCCTCCGTTCGCCGTTCCAAACCAATCCACAATCCGCGTGTGCCTTCCGAGCGTTTTTCGATCGAGTAGTGGGGGTTACACTATCATCGGTACAAGGAGCCATGTACATAAATACATACAAACAAGCGGCCACTGACGTCTCTCTCGCTGACGTCTGACATAGCCCCCAACACCCCCTAAACGTGCACTAGTGTGTGTGTGTGTGTGTATCTGTGTGTGTGCGATTATTGTTATTATTGTGCTTTGTGACGCATATAACGGCAAAAGCGGGGCGTGTTTTTTGCCTTTATTAGAGAAGCTCCCCATCTCGTGGGTAAAAAAGCGCCAATCGGACAGGTGTCGTTTGGCGGAAAGCTCGAGCTGTCGCTGTCCGTTCGTAGTAAACAAATCAGAGATTAGAGCACCGTGCTAGGTAGCAAACAACACTCCAAGAAGAACGCCTCAATTAGCGAATTAATCAAGAGATTGCCGGATCTCCCTGGCGTAATTTCCAAACGTGCTAAACACTAAACATATTCCTCCAAGTCAAAACCAAATCTCGGTCATCGTTTACAACTCATTTGACCCGCGAATTCGTTTACAGAGCGATGGAAAATCACCAGCCACACGGAAAAAGGGCCAGCGCCAGCATTTAATTGCCACTGCTACGCCAGAGACATTAAAAATTAATATAAAAAAAAAACCCATTAAATGTGCCCAGTCACCATCAATAAAAGCAGTTTCGAGCTCGCGAGCAAAGTATTTGCATAGACATCCCCCGGGCACCTGGTGAAAATGATGCTGAACAAATACGAGGGATACCAACGCACAAGCCAAATGTTTCCCCACCACCAGCAGCAGCAGCATCAGCTGCAACAGCTCCAACAGCTGCAACAGCAACAGCAGCAGCAGCAACAGTCGCTGTCCCTGCCCCAGAACTTCCCGCACCTGCAGTATGGATCCACTGCATCATCCGATGAGCTGCTCAAGGCGGAGCGGGAGTCCATCCACTCCGGCCAGTTCATGGTCTCGCACTTCGAGGCCGAAGAGGCGCAGGACGACCTCGAGGACGACGGTGAGGTGAAGATGCTGGATCCCGAGGATCCCGACCTGGCCAAGCCGGGCGAGGAGACCAACACCTGCCGCGACGTCCAGCTCTATGTGCCCCAGACGGTGGCCCACTTCAGTGCCATGGACCAGGAGGGCGACGAGAGCAGCATGAGCATGGTGACCTCCCACCTGGAGATCGAGACCTCGCTGACCAAGCTCTTCAAGTGCATGAACCTGGCCTACAGGTGAGTAGCCGAAAAACGCCGAACCCAAAACGCCAAACACCAAACACCAATCGCCAAACACCTACAAAATATAGTTTCCCGCTTGTTCACGCGCTGCGAGCGTGATAACCGCCAAAAAACTGGCCAACGAAAATCCAGCAACCCAGAAAGCTTGGACCGCTTCGGTCGCATAATCGCGGCACATGTTGCGAGGCGACGTCGCTGCTCGGGTTACTTTGGACCCAACTTTGCCTCAATCGCTTGTCCACTCACTCCGCTGCTCCACCCCTCAGGCCCCCTCATTTTGGGTCGTACTTCTCCCATTTCTGCAAACGTCAGGGCAATTATCACGGAAAAATATCAAAATATTAAATATAGCGATATCAGAATCATTCCAAACCGCGAATTTCTGTGCAAAATTGGCGCAAATGTCTGACCGGTTATGAAACGCGAAATTAAATGCAAGGTGGTTGAAAAATTTTATTTATTTATTGAAAAATATTTTAGCTTAGAGGACTTGGATAATATCTAACATGGGTTTTATATGGGTACATTTTTTCGGAGGCCAAAGTGGTATATAAGTTTTACTATATTTGCTTAGAAGGTATTTTTCCTGCATATTCAGTGGACACACTTCCTTATAAGACCCCTAAAAGTTAGATCTTTCACATGCATAAATCATGATCTTTAATTTGGAAATATAAATCTTAATTGTTTCATTAGCTGCTACGTGTGAATCCATGGAATGTATAAACTAATTGTTTTTGGACTCTTAGATAAGGTTCTACCTTATTTGGTTCATTTAGATCATTAGGAATTAATAAACATCATACGACACGTTCGCCTGTTCAATCTATATTTAACCACATATTGCCGATGGCTACCAATTCCGACCTCTTCTCTCATTTTATTCCCTGTGGTTTAACTTATTGTTGTTGTAAATAATAGTCTTATCAGCAGCAGTAATTTATATTGGACTTTCATTCTGGTCTGTTTACTTTTATTTTGCTAATTGTTGTATAGCTAAACAAACTGCGCTGTGGGGTAATAATCCTCTTTCAGATATGGCGTAAATATAGCCGGAAAGCTTCCATGGGTGAAAAAAAAGAAAGGCCTTAAAGAATTTACGGACAAAAGTTAACTTTTTCCCAGGTGTTAACTTAAGAAAAGCGTAGTTTATCTAATCTAATATCATAGGTGTTTATAGCATCCTTCGCGAGTATACTTGGTCAATTAGCCCAGAACGTTTATTAATAGGTATGCACTATTAAGCAAAAATAGTTCTCAGCGAGGTAAAAATGGTGTGACGATCACCCCTTTAACATAAACTATTTCTTATTATAGGTACATTTATTTAGACTAAACTTAAATAAATATTTACTAAAAAAATTTGTCTCTACCAGCTACTGAAATCCATTATGAAATATTTTTAAACTAAATTGAAAATTTATATATGTTAATATTTTTAATTTAATTTTTATCAAAGTAAAGTGAAATAAACAGTTTTTTCTTGATAATACATTTCAGAATCTTTTTAAATTAGATATACTTTTTTCAATGAGGAATTGTTGACCAAGGGCAATCTTTTCGTCCGTAAATTCAGAAGTATATAAATATATTGTATATAAATAGAGAGCAAAAACAAAGAGAATTTACGCAAAAACTTAATGATAAATGTTTGAGGCTTTTGAACCGGAATCCCCCTTCAGTTTGGATATTTAAAGTGGTTTTGTCGCGCCAGACAAAATTTGGTATTCTACCGCAGCTATATGTAAGAAGTTTAAAGACTTATGCGTCATCGGAATACCCATCTCTCTCGTCAATACTTAGCAAATATCCAAAGAGTGTGAAATACTGGATTTGTGCCAGTAAATACCAATACAGGAAGTTAGACAAGGCCAAACAGCTACGTCACTAGATAAAGCGGTATCTAAGTTCTTCGATGGGGAGCCACCCCCACATGGGAATGTTGTTTGACTGCTTTCGAGTGCTCGATTGTGCAATATGAAGGGTCCGTTCGAGAGTAGTAACAAATGTCATGTATTTACCTGTTGTTAGCCTAATGTTTTTCACTGAATCATCCATCGACTACGATAGTAAGAGCAATAACAATAATAAATCAACAGTGTCAACATATCGAGTATC